CAACACAGCACTTACATTGCTGCCATAGCATTGAAAGACGGAAAGGTATTGAACTGAACCGCCTGGCTGTGTTATTAGAAGAAGGGTCTAAAAAGAATGGACGGTGGGTCAAATTGACCCCGCGTCTCTAGTAACGGGTTAACATAGTTTACATTCAATCCATTTACATGTACATGATTTATCAGCAGAACACATCATATCTCTGCAAAATGTAAACACAGCTACAAGAAAAATTGCTCATCTATAAATTCAACAATTAAATCAAAATATGTTATGTTTAAAGGACCTATATCAACTATTATGTTAATTATACATATTTGTAGTTCTGTATTAGTAGAAACTATTTGTAGATGATAATGAAGCAATAAAGTATACTTGCCATAAAACTAAGAAGTATTGCAACCCTACTTTTCTTTATCTACAGCCCCTATCATAATTTTTCTACGACTACAAAAAATTGTACTTAAAGCTGTGTTGATGCTGGTGGCAATAATATTGCTGTGGGCTCCAGAGTCTCGTTGTTTAAAACCATTCCCCATTCTTTACTTTCAATTTTTTTTTCTCACTAAGTTTAGATCTGCAACAGACCAGATAAGTACGCTGTCGAGCTGCTTGCAGTTTGTTTCATGAATAATCCGTTTCTAAAATTGCCATCTGAAACGAAACATTTGCAGAAATAGTTTTTCACGATATTAGACCTTGATTATCTTAAGACACGTACACGTGATTACATAATATGTGACTTTTCACACAGTATTTAGTAGGTCAAATTAAAGGTCTATTCAAATATTCAGCTTATTGTTTCTTATTTTGAAGTTTACCCCTTTTTAACCTTATTTAAGTGTAATGGAATATACTTATGTTATGTTGAGAATGGGGTGTTAATACACTGCGACCTAAAAGATCTATTGTGTCACCTTCTGTCGCCAATGCACTAAGGAAATGTCTCAATGCCTATAACGACCCTTCTAATCCTATGGAATATACTTCAAAAATTGTTTGTTTTTTTTGGTATTGGGAATTCATTAAAACAAAATATTTCCTAGATATTATGTCCAGTTGATTTATTTCAATTAGGTGGGTTTTGCCAAAATTAATATTTGTTTTGTTCAATTTTAAATTACACTGGAATTTTTTTATTATTGACTAAAAATAAAAATCACTTCAATTGCATTTCATAAGTATAGGAGCCCAAAATCTAGATTTTTCATTTAGGTTTATTTTTCTATAATTTAATTTCATAGCAATTATATTGTCCTTAAAATATGCTTTAATCTTAATATATCAAAACAATAGGTTGGTAATATAAATGTATATACATTCTGATAAAAATAAATGCTTTATTATATAAAACATTTTTTAATCATATCTTAAATAATTTAAGGTAGCTTAAGTTACAAACAAAGATTACAATATGGACAAAAGGATTTTGTCTAAATGTTTTTTTAATTTTGATATATGTTAAATTTTAAATTATAAACGTAATTACTAAGAATTTCAAAATTTTGACAGTTTTATCCTTTTGAGAGCAATTGAATTTAACTGATAACTGACAACAATATTAAGATTTGTTTAACAACACCATTATTTGATTGGATTAATTTAATATTTTTCCATTTTCAGCTTGTTCTTGGTACTTGATTTAGCAATCAGAATATACAAAATTCTATAAGCTAAATTGCCAACGATATTTTTGCTAGTAAAAAAATAACTTAATAAGGATGATGCTGATTAACATTACCTGTGTAAATTTTGAATTGTGATTTATTATAAATTAGTACAAATGGTCATATTTTTTTCAGGCTTTTGTTATTTCGCTACCCCATTAATGGGTGAGCAGCTAGAGCTTCTCATGGATTCTTTTTAAACTATAAGAAGATGTAGATCTATATTTGTTACGTATAAAGTGGCATCTGAAATTTGTCGTAATATCTACATTGGCTTTTTTTATTGATTACTAAGTTTGGCTTGGAGGTACAGCTCCATATGTCTAATCCATAAGTCCAGATAGGATTGATGACAGATATGAAGTTTAGTATTTTGTTTTGTATCGATACTCAAGATTTTCTTCCTAGTACCCATTTTAATTGTTTTGCTATTTCAAGCAGTTGCTTCTTTTTGATGATGTGTTGTTTCTCTATTAATTTATTGTCCATGTGAAAGATCAGGTATTTTACTTATTTTGGTTATTTGTATATTATCCATATAGACTGGAGGACATAATTGTTTCCGGACGGAAAATGTAACATTTTCGTTAATTTTATTTGTCACTTCTTTAAGGATTTTCGTGATTAGACAAATGCCCAGTAATGGTGAAAGCCTACGCGTCGCTAAAAGAGGAACTCAATCTAAGTTCATTGGAATAGAACCATTCATGGATATTGCGAAGAACACTGCCAAAAAAAAATTCTTAAAATGGACAGAGGGTGTAATATTTATGAACTAAAGAGATATCCAACCTAGAGATACCCAACCCTTTTATAAATGCCTCTACTTAGATCTGGGAATGGACTCACGGGACTGATGACAGCACATTGTCCTCTAGCTAACCACATGTCTACAAAATACGTCGAACTGTCGAGTCTGTAGCATGAAACACGATTTGGCAGAGCACGTTCTATATACCTGCTCCGCTTTGAAAGAACTATGTTGCAGATCTTCGGATTCACCCAACTGGAACACACCCAATTTAAACATGACCTTTATCAAAATGTATGCCTTTGTACAGTGGACTGTTAGACATGAGCCAATAGATCCATTTGAGTCGCAGTGGAAAGCTATCATTCTATTCATTATCAATCTAATCTAACCTAAACTTGGTAATTTATTGATAGGCTAACGTGCCCTAGAACACTTCGCTGTTGCACCCCTGATCTGATTGGATTATAATCTGCCTTCTTTTGATTTACTTTTGTTTGAAACGTTCGTTCAATCTGGTATGATTTCATTAGTTGGAAGTAAGCTGGAAACAGGTTATTTTTTCAAAGTAGTCCAGGGTGCTATACTTTGTCAAGTACTGTTTGCTTTCTAGAGCTTTATTATTGCTTTGAGTGATTTGAAAAACGTGCTGGATTGTGGATGGCATCTAACAAAATCCAAATCGTTGATATTGGATGATTCAGTTTTCTGGTGACAGGTCTTCATTTATTCCATGTAACACTGGTCATTCAAACAATTTTGAAAGAGTCGGCTGATAAGAGGAAATTTATGTTGGTTCTTTACCCGACTTACGGGTTTATGGATTATTATTAGTTGGACATCTTTGAGGAACTCTGGTCAGAATCCCGTTTTTAGAATAGCATTTTATATGTAGTTTAGTAATACCTACTATTCTTCTTCTTGGTGGTTCTGTTATTATTTTTTTCAATGTACGCTGGCTGGTAATTTTTTTGATAGATAGGAACTACCTAATTACTTTTTCTAAGGCAATTGCGATTGTTTTATATAGTTAAATAGTTGTTCCCTTATATTTTTATATAGGGTGATTCCTATGTTGATACCTTTTAACTGTTTTTAGAAGTGAATAAAATGAAATTTTTACTTATAATATCACTAGTGCCTAAATTATTTTATACCAATATATCAAAATTTCAAAGCTTGCATGAATTAAAATGGCTGACATAAATTTTGCGAAGGTGGCCACACCAGTTATGCGTATACCCAATTAGTATTTTACTTGTAATCATTTTTTAATCGCACCGTCGCATCGCGTCGTAATGTCATGTGCATATAAGTACTTCCTAAATGTCATAATATTTCCAGTGTAATTTCGTTCAGGGTATTACCAAGAGAAAAAATTTCGGATCTTTTTTCTGACTAATATGGAAACATTTTAAAACAAGAGCATTTGATTGGCTATAAAATAAAGTTGTAAAGTTTTTAAATATTTTTTTCTAAAAAACTAAAAAACAGGAAGGAATTTTTATTTTTCCGCATCCATCTAGAAAACCAGACCTAAATCCTTGTGTTTTTTTAAATGTTTTTTATTTTACCGACTTCTATACACAGTTAAAAATAAGTATCAACCTAGGAACCGCACTCTGTATATCCATATCATTGCATATCAAGTAATTTATATACATTTCGTTAATTTGAGAAATAACTGTAGGTATTATTTAAATCAACATTATAGATACAATATTTCATGTAGGGGCAGCGAGGGATTAGTGCCATCCTGTTAAAATTATTTAACATTTCGAGTACATTCACTCATACGGTTATCTATAGTTTCGATTTCAAGACTTGTATTCATTAGATTATATAATAAAACAATTATATTAATCACGTGACATTTTCTATTTAAATTTAAAATCACAATATAACACTAACCTAATTAAAAATTACATTTTTACTTTACACATTAGGCAACCAATCACATTACTTTGTTTTTGAAATGACCAATAATAAACCACCAGATATGATTTTTATTTAGTTTTATACATTATGATTGATGTAATCAGTTTATATGAGAACGTGTAAGCTCCATAGCACTTAGGCCTCATTCAATAATTGAAATCTTAAATAAAACAAAATTCTGAATAATTGAAAATTATATTACTAAAACTACTTATTTTAATAATTACATCTTAATCGTTATTGAGAGAAATGTTAAAATTATATCAACATTAATCTATAAGCTTAAATTTAAGTTGCACAACATTTATATTGATGAATTATAGTTAAAACTTCAATTTCTGTATCTCACCCCAAATTTAACCCACAAATTAATTCATAACCGTAATTGCTAATCACTAATCACCCATATACCTTGTAACACAACCAATAAACATACACCGATTCTCCTTCCTACATAAAAATTTGCCGCTCCGCTGAAATCCTCTCCCCCATTACCCACCTGTACCGGTCAGGTAAACTAAGAAACTAAGGTTAGGTTTGTTTTACAGAGCCATGGCTGCGCCTCTTGCAGCCGTTAGAGTCACAGTCAGTACGTCGGACGATGCGATCCGGTGCGGAACAAAAATCATGTGACCACGGTGAAGATGTCTGCCAAGATGTGCCCCCCCAAATGCGGCGACGTGGGGTTGACGCGATTCTGTGTTATCCTCTTCCTGATTGTTATTGTGATCAACGGGATCGAGTGTGCAAGGAACAGGAATAAAGGACATACCAATACGTCGCAAGCTATTCAGCAGCACATGCGCTTTAAAGTGCCTATTACTGAGAAGGATACTGATTTTTTGAATAAGGGAAAGAGTAAGTTTTATGAAAATATGATAAAAATCAATAGGAATTTCTCGGAATTACGAAAATATTGTTAAAATAAATATAAAAATACAAGCTAAATTGTATTTCCTTTGTGAAACATAAGATGTAAACACTAGCAACAAAACACAATTTCTTACATAACCAAGGATGCTGTTAAATAATGTTTTCAATATTTGTTTAGAACTCAACAAGGTATTGTTCAGTTCGGTAAGGAAAAGTACTGTTTTGATGCTAGGGGTAAAGTAAAAGGAATGTAGGTAAAAGAACAGCTTTCACTGAAGTCAAGTGGTTGTAATTATAAAAGATTTTGAGATTGTTGTTGAATACATTCAAATTTTGTAGTGTTATCTATAATAATATTAAAAATAACATATTAGTTTTGTGTATTGTATGGTCTATATTTATCGATTTTATTATGAAATAATAGTTTGTTTAAATTTAACGCATATTAATTTAAGAATTATTAAAAAGGAAGCTACCAGACTCAACGTTTTAACTACTTATTCCTATTTTTCAAACTCCATCTATCTTTTGGAAATTTTGATTGTAATTTAACTGTTATTATTAATAGTACAATATATCGGATAATGAAACATCAGTAATACACTCATTCCTATTATAATATAGGAAATGCAATCAAATAATAGAGTATGTAATTTCCCGCTTAAAGTTTTATCAGTAGATATCTATTTAATGTTTGTTTAATACATTTATTAAACTCTTTATTTTTTAATTTAGCTAAAATATTACAGTATTCTGTTAATATTACTATTTTAAGTACATTAAAATCTTCAGGGATCTTCCGAAGTATTTCAAGACAGTTCAGTCGTGAATAGTGAAAAATAAACTATCTAGATGTTATTCGTATTCGTATCTAAGTAGAACATTTCGCACCTTTACTTTAAAAGTAACACATCTCAAAATTCAAATTCTTGAGTCAATACTATATTAGTAAACAGTTCTACATGGAAATCTCAGGCAGCATCTATACTAGATGACTCTTTTCCAAGGGATATTTTTAAATAAGTTGAGTCCTAGGATTTAGTAAAATTTCAGGCTCCATATATTCGAGAGTAAAATAGTACCTCGATCCTAACTTTAGCTTCGTTTTATTATGAATTTCATAGAGAGAAAAAAAGTGGAAACAAATTATAAAATATATATATACAGTGTTTTTCAGATAAAAGTATCCACCTTAAGTAACTTTTGAAAAACAAATAAAAATCGTCAATTAATATTCGAAGAGGGAGATATTGTACCATATTTAAATTTGCCGAAAAAGTCACCCTTTCACACCTACTATCATCTCAATTTTTTTAATATTTTTTATCCATTTTTGGATTCCTCTCGTTTAACTGATTTCAAAAATGTATGAAACCTTGTGTTTAAAGTAATTAGTTTATGATCTACAAATTTTTAAATAAAAATAAAATTGAATTATGCAAAACTTTTATTTTAATGATTTTATCACAAGCGTTTCCAATGATAAAACGAATATTTCATTTTCAAAATTTATTATAAAAATTGTTTAAAATGACCACCATTTACTTCCGTACAATGGTATAATCTAGTTTGAAAATCCTCTCTGACATTACCGAACACGTCTGCATTTAAATTTTGGCATTCATACTCTATTCTTTGTCGTAAAGATTCTTGTTGGGTAGCATCCTTTTTTGTTTTCAAATAACCCCATAAAAATAAGTCTAGAGGTGTTAAATCCGGTGATCTAGGTGGCCTCTTCTACCTATTCAACGAGCGGGAAAGTTTCATTTAAAAATTGTCGTACAAAGCAAAGTAAAGAGGTGCTCCATCCTGTTAAAATACAAGCCAATCTTCAGAAACTGTTATCATCATTTTCTATTATTGCTGTAATACTTATATCAATTACTTCTCTCAATAACTCAAGATACGATTCATTACTTAAGTTTCCGTCTAAAAAGAAAGGTCCGACTTTGTTATCACCTACGATACCACACCATATATTTAAATTTTGAGGATTCTGTATGTGGTATTCACGCACAACATGTGGATCACTCTCAGTCCAATATCTGCAATTAGGTGTATTCTAAACTATTCACTGAAAATGTGCATTCATCCAAAAAACAAAGGTTGTGCAACAAATGTGGTTGACTCATTAATTCACAAAATTCAAGACGACGATCAAAATCATCTTCGTACAACTCTTGAACAAATTTAATTTTGTTTGGATGGTACTTGTGATTGTGAATTATTCGAAAAACTATGGAAGATGTAACACCTACTTCTCTGCTTATTGTTAACAGTGGCTGTGTTTGTTGATTTTCAAGACCTGCTTGTCCTTAAACTGTCCCAGTCGGTTGTTTTTTTATTGCCAACTGACCCGGTTGATGTAAATTTATGCATAACATCTACTTATGGGTTTATTGAAAATTCTATCAGCAGCTCGTGCAGAACTGTTATTTTTGTAATTCAATTCTTTCTTGTAAACTGTAAACCATTTTGAAATCCAATAAATAACCCCAACAAATCAGTGTGCACATGTATCAAAATACACTATAACAGTGATTTAAATTCATTTTTTAAATCTTTTGAATCTCTAAACCTTTATCAGCTATCATATATCAACAAGTTTTTGGCGGTATACGATTAAGGTATAATGTATTCTAAAACCAATTTTGCTTCAGTCAGTAAGGTGAGATGTAAAAGTTTTTTCCCTTAAATAAAGAAATCCTGTAGATCATAAACTAGTTACTTTAAACCCGATGTTTTGTACATTTTGGAAATCGAGAGGAATCCAAAAATGGATAAGAAAATGGGGGAAGTCATTTAAAAAAAAATGAAGGGATGATAGCAGGGGTAAAAGAGTGACTTTTTCAGCAAACCTAAATATGGCACAATGTATATTTAAAAAACATAAAATAGAAGAATTATGTCACTAGTAGGTACCTGCCCAAACTTATTTTTGAGCATTTTCACTTCGCAACTGTTATCATTTATTTTATTTATGTTTATTCTAACTAGAATATCGCTTTCAACATTTAAAATCGCTAAAAATAAAAGAGTATCTTCATTTAGGTAACTCACTAAATGAAGATACTCTTTTGAGTTACGCAAATACGGTTTTATTTGTTTAAATATAGAAAATGATATAGAAAAATTTATAAAAAACTTAAATACCACAAGCTCATCATTGACATCAACATTCATATTATAAAACTTTTCTATATTTTTTTTTTTTAAATGTTTATCTGATTGTTTGCAAAAAAAATTACCAGAAAACTTTGTTTTCAGTTCAACCATTAATACATGAAAAAAAAAGCAATATTAAAATTCTCGGAATTACTGTGCAGGTCCTTCTTCAAAAAACTGTTTTCTCTTGCGAACTATTGTTATCCAAAGTATTTTTTTGGCTATTTCCTCTATTTCTTTAAACTGTTGCTGCCTTTTAAATTCATTTAAAACATTATTCAGTACCCAAGTTGTGTATAAAGTTGTTTCAATGTTTTGCAAAGATTTACTTACCATTAATCCTTACCAAAATTATTGACTTGAGGTAAAATTCAAATATCGAATGTTTTGCGAATTTGTATTTATTTAATAAGGATTATAGTTGTTTTAAAGTTTTCATAAAAGTTAAAAATTGTTCGAATTCTCTTTTATTTGATATATTTAGCTAATTTTATTTTATTTGTGCAATTTTCTGATTTTATGTTCTCTATTTCGGGCTCTTCTTGCCGTTGGGCCCTAGGGGCTCGCGCCTTAAGTTAAAATAGGAACTGGTCTTTTCTCAGCCAAGTTAAAATAATTTTAATGATTCATGTATCACATTCAAAATATTAACACAAAACATCTGAATTTTGTTTTGTGTCAATTATTTTTAAATTGTTGACAATTTAATACCCAAAAATTTGGTTTAAACAACAATGTTTTTATTTTATTTTTCTTTAAGTTTGAATCAATTTCGTTTGGTACCGAAGAAATATTAATATCAAGAGAAACTATATATCGTTTTGGCAAACTTTGCGATTTTGCGATTGTTAACTCGAGTCCAAGACGACATAGAGAAAGTTGCGTTTGCAAATTGTGAAAGGTTGTTAAGATCTAAATTTTATTAAGACCTTGTCCATTATGCAACATCAAAATAAAAATAACAACAGATTACAGTCGAGACCGCACAGCGAAAATCGGTGAAAGCTCAAATAGATTAAAAATTACTACCATTAAAACTCTTGTTGTCCATGCAATTGATTTGCAATGATGATTATAAATTATAAAGGGGATGGACGTATTTGAATGGTCGATTTTTGTAACTGAAAACTCGTTTGTAAACACAAGAATAAGGCGTGGACTGAAAAAAGTTGATTCTAGTAAAGGACACACCTATTCTCTTTAAGAATACTTCTACCTCTAGATCACAATGACCGAAAGGTCACAAGTCTACGATTTTTATAAGATACTTTTTAATAATGGTTCTCAGAATCTCTAGAAAGGCAGTATTTTAAACCGAAACTCAGCTGATATATATTTAGAGATAAAACTAGAGAACTATTTGCAAACTAATTTTTTAAACTCACAATCGGCAATATGGTGTTTTACTTCTTTAAAACTTTAGTATTTATTTCTTTTACATAATTTTGATATGCATATAATTGCAAAATCTACAGTTCTTAATCTCAACCATGCTCATTTTTTAGATGCTACATTGAGGGAAAAAAACTTATAAATATCTTACTTGGAAACAAAAATTAGTGACATATTCAAATTAAAATAATAGAATTGTTTTTAATATAATAGAAATAATCTAAAATAGAAAACAAGGGACAGAAAACAAGGTACAAAAGAAAGGAAAAACTGTATATTGCACAAGTAATTTTTTATGCTGTTATAAAACCTCGTACAAGTATATCCCTAATACAAACTTTGTTTTTGGGGTTTACTCGTAAGAAAATTAATTATTGGATGACAATTATAATGAATGAATAGACAATATTTCCAGTAGAGGTAGATAG